TATATAATACGGCCGCTAGGTTGGCCTACATTCGAATCATTGGGTACGGTTAACGACATGCCAACACACTTCTCCAAATTCATAGCGATCGGCTACATTTAACTGCATAAAACAAAACATTCATGCTCTTCTTCAAATGTCACTACAGTCTGCAGGGTCACATTCGAAATATTGGCGAAGAAAAAAAAAAGTAACCAGTTTTAGTCGTAAATGTGAGGACACTTGTTTATAAATCGGCTGAAGATGATGGCATCGATTGAACTTTTACAGCATTTTCGTTTCGTTTTGTCTTTCGTTCTCGTTGTTGTTGCTGTGTTTTATTTTTAAATATAAATTGGCATCGCATGGCATGAATTGTAGGTTCACTTTAAACCGTCTCTCATGCTGTTTGATGTGATACAAAATTCAAGTACAAATTAAATTACTGCGCGTTCGGTGAATTGAACATGATCTGTCACCGGATCGTTGGATTTTACTATTCCGTTTGACATCCAAACTAATTTCCCAGGTCATTTAAAAAATAAATTTATTTATTGCTGTTCTTTTTTATTTCCGAACAACGATCTCTTCGTTTCTTTTCCATGCGAGCGTTACTAATTTATAATTGTAATTGTAATTGATGTAGGTATTCTGCATACAAAAAGAAACCTTTTATTGCAATACTATTCAAACGAACATGAAGATACAGTTTTTTGAAGAAATCCAGAACATACTACATCCAAAACTACCGAACAGATGTCGATTTAATCATTTTTCGTCTTCATGGTGATTAGTCTATCTTCAAAGCATAACGAATTACACATTTATCTATGAAATCGCCAACAATGTTCGGTGTTGGCTGCAATTCAATACAAGTACGGCGTTGCCATTTGACGAAATGCTTTAAGCTGTTTTACATGCGCTTTTATGCAAAACTAATTTGCTGCCATGAAGAAAAAAAAAATTAACAACATGCAACACGAAAACAAAAGTCATTTCAGCATCATATGGAAAATGACAAACAAATGAAACGGGCTGCATGAAATATGCGTGTATGATATTATACATACAGAGAGACAGGGAGAGAGCATTTCGTTTGCTGATTGCCTTGCTCGTGGGCTGGGTGTTTTAGCGTTCAGCTTGTTTTGTTTCTTCTGTCTTATTTTTCTCTTTCAAAAAAAAATTAAATCTTTGTTTCATTCAATTTCTGTCCCCATAAGCGGTGAACACATTGAGCATTTGCATGTACAGTTTTATGTATTTAAATGAATTGTTGAAAAAAAATTATGTACCGGAATGTACAAAACTAATAACTAACAAGGTTACAATAGGTGTACTTATTCATGAGTTTTCATTTTTGCTTCAGTCACATGAAGTTCCTCTCAAGAATGCCCAAATGAATGAATAGAAGTCTACCAGAATAAACATTTAATCAAAATCCATACATCTTTTATTGAAATTTAACTCTTGTCCGCTGCTTCAAAAAAAAAAATCTATCCATATTTTCTAGTAAGTTCGACAGTTCTTTACCATGTATTCTATATTGTAAAAATGCAAATAAAATGGCTATTAAACTTTTAGTATCTTCTAGTTTTCTCTAATAGACATACACTACCCCCAAACCGATTTATAGGTATGTGAAATTCTATACTAGGAACTGACACGAGTTGAATATGAAACATATAAATAGCAATAAAAAAATTAATTCAATTTCAACTTCAAGAGGCAAACGTATTATTTGACGTAGTCCATGTTGGTTTAACGATTCGATGTCGATGACAATAAAAAAAACGGAAACATCCGGACAGAAGCTTTAAGAAACAATAAACTTTTAGCCGTGGTAAAATAGCAAAATAATCTGTCATCTATCATTTCATTTGATCTGGTGACGGCCAAACGAGAACGAAACTTCAACAATGAAAGAAGAAAATCTGAATTGGTATCACTTCATCTACACAAACATCATCGCGGCAAGGTTAAACATTTGCTTTCGATAATCTCCCAATATACGGTGCATGAAGAATATAAACAAAACAAACAAAAGTGAGGATGAATTTAAGAAAATCTTAAAACAATAGCGGCCAAAGAACTCCATTTTTGTCATCACCTAAATTGGCTAAAATCGTCAACCTTTTTGGTCAGCAATTGGTATTTCCGGTTGAGTTTCGTTGAATTTATACCTGGCATCACAATAATGACGAAAAAATATATGAACAGTTGAGTTCGGTGAGTTCAGAGCGTCCATTCAGTCACAAACAGGTGTGCTTCATTCTACTGCATCAAATGGCCTTTTGTTTTGCCATTCTTATAATTTTTCTCATTCTTCGACCCAGCCAGCAATGCCTTTACAAATTCTGAACATACATAAATTAACTGCTTTCGTTGATCGCAATCAAAAGAGTTTGAGCGTACATCATAATCTTATTCGATTGATGGATGCCTCGTAAAATATTATAGGAGCTGAAATTCTGAGTGAATCACTCATTTCAGCCAATATGTCTTATTTCCATCTTCGCAAATCTCATACACAGCTATATATTGCCATTGTTTTACTCCTCTTTCGCTTTATTTTCGATCACAAAGTCGATACTGATTTACATCGGTTATCCGTTTCAATGTGAATATAATTTGTGTATTTGTTTCTTTTGTATTTTACTATTTCATCACGACGTACAGGTACATTGCTTTTTATATCACTTGTGTATTTAGCTAAGTTTTCCACGTTACTTAAATGATTTTTCTATTTCTATCTATCATTTAAACAATTTATTGACATAACTTCTGTGTAAGTGGTGCTGCATATTAACATTGTTGGTCCAACAAGTTGATATGAAGATAGTGGATTTTGTTATTCGATCGAACGAAAAATTTCATATCATGAACTATTTGTGCCTGATTGACATGAAAAAGAAGCTGCGCATTGGTGCGTTCCGTCAAAAAGGAAGGTATAAATATGATGTCGGTTTACGAAAAGACCTTCACATGTATTCGTACCCACGTGTATGCATAAGCAGTGCACACCAAATCCATTCATCCTCATCATTTATATGAGTCTTCCGTTCTTTTTTCCTTGTGAAACGTCGTGCAGCAGCAACATCAATAACATCGGTGAATGCACATCTCGAACAAAAAAGACAATGTGTATATTTTTTCATGCGAATTTCAACTCAATCTATTTTAGCAGTTTAATCCGTAGCTTTAGTGACGGTTTCGATTTTGGCAGCAAAAAAACCGAATCGCTGTTCAACACGGATGCGGTCGGCTTGACGATAGTGGTGAACGCATCGCCATCGTCAGCCTCTTTGAAATTAAAAAATAATGCAAATTTATTTTGACATTTAATGAATATCAAGGTTTGTGGCCGTCTTTCGACGTCGTCGATCCGTTTCATTTTTTTTACTATATCGTTGATCGTCGGAATGTTTCAGTTTTTTTTTACTTTTTCTTCTCCAGAGTTTTGAATATTGTTTTTTTTTTGCATCCAACCAATTCATTATTGTGAAGCAATATCGACCGTATGCAGCACCCGTCACTCATTTATAAATATGTATGTGACGGTACGTATCAAATATCCGTATGTAATTTATTGGGTTGCAATTTACAAATGTGCCAGAGTGTACATTCATTGCGAGCGAATCGAATTGCACAACAATTCGTTGATATTTCTGCGTTTAACTTAATTCGTTCATTCAGTTTATCACTTTCAATGTTTGGATGAATCTTTTGGTTTTTAAAAAAATTGTTTTCAGGTCACATCTTATACATCTCTCTATCTAACAGAGGAAAAAGTATAATCGTGCCAACGAAATCTTATCATTTCATTTTGTAGTAATTTGTTGAAAAATTATTTTAGGCCATTTCTATAGGCCGTGTTCGATTTGAATTTTCAGAAAGTCGAGCATGTTCTCCGGTGATTAATGGAAATTTGATTTAAATTTCATTACATTAAAGGAGAGTATGTATTTGGTATAGCTTTAAAGTGGGAATGGGAGAGTATAACGTAATCAACTCTGAACCTGAAACTCACCAATCATTTTGATTTAATTAATTAAGGTCATCCATTTATGTGAGCTGTCTCGTTATCTGACACAGATGATCAATATCAATGACAAGTCATAAGAGCTTGATGAACCTGTCCACATTTTTTATTTCTTTCGACAAAAATGAACCATTTCATTATTTTTACATATAATGAAACGACAATCTTCATACATATAGCTTTTATAGAAATATCTCAAAACGCAGATCTGTAGGGCACCTGCAGAGCTAAAGTACAATTGTGTCGATGAGAATAGAATTGGCATTGTAGAAATGATCTTAACTTGGAACGCAAATGCATTTTTGCAAAAACGTAAATTCTGAGCTGCGCATCCAAAAACACTTAAGTTCATTATCATCACTTTTAGAAAGTGTTTAGACCATTTTTTCCCTCTATTTGTTCATCAACAATTGTATCCATCTGTGTCCACATACATGTTATTGAAAAATAGCCTTCAGCTCAAACAAATTTTAACTCTCAAAAATCGTAATTAGTATCACCGTGAATATCATCGCTCTTACCGTGATAATGTATTGCGCATTGGTACGCAATGGTAGGGACAAAAAAACTGATCGGACAGTACGAAAAACTTTCATATGAATATGGCACGTATGAAAAAAAATTCACTGAGTCTATGAAAACGAACATCTTTTAGTCGAATGAAACTTACGCGAAACTTTTTATTGCTGGTATTCATTAAGTGGGCAACAAATTTAGATGTTCTCTCACGACATAAATCACATATTATATCGATTGTCCGTCGTTAATCGTTATTAAGGCATATAATTATGAAATGAAGAGCTGAGAAAAAAAAGTTGTGTGAACCAAGTGGTCGGTTTATCACTGCGATACAGGGGAAAGAGAGAGAGAGAGAGAGAGAGAGAGAGAGAGAGAGGCAACAGACACAAACGCACACAGAGGATACGGGAACTGTCCATTACGTACTCATTTGGGATTGAATAGTCTCTTATCTGGCACTTACCTCATACCATCAAAACCATCGTCAGAGCCATTTATCGTTAATACTGGTGCTCGTGCATATGCTTTGGCCACTCTCCGATTACGTTCGAATACGATCACCTTGGCCCATATTTCGTCATCGATTTGAGTCCACTTATCTAAAACTTCTTGAATGTGTTCCTAAAAATGGATATTGGGAAAAGACATGACGAGATTATTAAGAATGTTAATGAAGCTGTAAAATTTTGGTTTATTTGGATTTTTCGACAGTTATCATCGCGAATGTCGATCAAATATGATGATTTGAAATCTATTCGTGAGACGTAAAAGAATGTATGTTTTTTGTCGATTTATATTTTTGAAAAGGAAAGTATGTTTTCTGTTGATTCTATCTGCGTTAAAAGGAAGTATGTTGGCATCCCGTCTAGCCTCCGCGGTTTTTCACGGTTTCCGCGGAACTGATAAGGAATAACAACTTGGTGTCTTCGGCAAAGTTGTAGTACTTGAGGTCTCCTATAACATTGCTGAAGACAACTATCTCTTATCTCTTATCAGTTGCGCGCAAATCGCGCACATAAAAAAGCAAATTTTATATAGAACTTTTTTTTTCTTATCATTTTTCGCGCTTTTCGCGGAACTGATAAGAGATAAGAGATAACTGACTTCAGCAATGTTATAGAAGACCTTGAGTGCTACATTTTTGTCGAAAACACCAAGTTGTTATTCCTTACCAGTTCCGCGGAAACAGTGAAAAACCACGAGGACCCGCTAAAAACGAACATACATTCTTTTAACCATTATTAGTTGCAATGAAACATACTTCTCTTTATTGCTACGAAGTTGGACCAACTTGCGTTCTTTTACGTCTCACTAATAGAAATGTATTCGCCAATTTTTCTACATAAATTGCCGCGTAAATCAGCATATACACATGGTAATATTAACATGTTGTGTTTGAAAACTGATTTCAAATGACCGTATTTTGAATAGTTGTATAGAGCAATATGAATATCTCCATAATAATAGCGTGAATGGGTTTTATTTAAAAGAAAAACAGCCAATTTACTGTTCATACTTTTCTTGGGGTTTTGAAAACACATAATTGTCTAGTGCACTCACTAGTTTCAATTTAATACGGTAGTTGAATGATGTGAATTGGTCGATAATAAGGAAGTAGAGTTGTAGTAAACGGTTTTTAAACAAATCTCTCTCTGTAAAAAAAAATAATCAAAGCAGCAGCAATGTAGGAAGTGAAACTAAATAAATCAAAAGTTTATTGATGAATCATTGATTCATTTCATTAGAGGACATTTTATATGACACTCAATGCGCTTCATACACTCTATCCGCTTCAGAAGAGCCATTCAAAGCATCAAGCATTCCAATTAGATAATTATGGCATAGGGCTGTCATATTTGCAACAATAATCGTTAATATTTATGGTATATCTATGGAAAACTATGGAAAAGTGAAAATAGCACCAGATGGAATTTGCCGCAGAGAAACTACAATGATGATATTAAATGTACCTGTTATATTCGCTTTGTATACATTCAAAGTAATTGGAGTACGACTGATGGTTGATCATCATTTCATTCCGGTAAATTTTAACGTCATTTTACGACAACTTTTTTGTTGTTGTTGTTTAAATAAAAAAAAGGCGGACTTGAATGAAGTTTTGCGCACTTGAATTGAACGCATGATTTTCCGTTGAATATGAAAAACAACAAGATTATGGCATCTTTGGATTCAAGTCTCAATCAAATCGAGCAGAGCATCACTTATATCGATCAAGTATAGAGCAATTAGCATTTGCTGTTGTTGTTTGCCGCTGATGATGTCGAATATAATGCCTCGCGCGTACACTGAAAAATGCGATGCTATGTGAGAGCTCATAAATAATAAGTGCGCCACACTTTCTTCTCTCATCGTTCGTTTTATTGTGCAGCCAGAAATGAATAATAAATCTATTTGCACTAAAGTATGCAGTCAATTATTTCAATTGGGCGAGACGAGAGAGAATATGAGGATTAATGATCTGCGATCCAATATGTTACTACTTCGGAATACTAAAAAAAAACGAAGTGAATGTAAACCGTTTCGTTTGAGAGGTTCACTTAGCGTTACGTTCGCGTTGTCTTTGTCTTTGTGTTTCGCCTAAACTCTTGCATGCATGGCATCTCTGCGTTTATTACAAAGTAACTTACAAATGAATTAACTGTTTTTTTTATTGAAATTTTGCTCTTTATTTGCATCATCTGTGTGTATGTATTTGAAAGATATTCAAATGCGAGAATTTTATTATGAATGCATATTTTGGTGAGAAAAATAAATTTAATTTGCGATTGTCATCGATTTTAAATAATAAACTTCGTAAATTTTGATGTAAGAATTGTAAGATACAATGGAATTGATTCCCTTGCAGGACATTGACGGTATGCGAACCAAAATTCTAATTTGTGTCCAAATTTTGGCCAGTTATAAATATTTCAATATCTCATAATGATTTACCGTTATTGGAGGGAAAAAAACACAATTCGATTACAGGCGGCACAAGAATATTTCATCATTTGCTGACTTTATGCAAAATATCCAAAATTGAGAAAAAGAAATAAAATTCATTTCAAATGGCAACCGAAGCCCACAATTTATATCATTAAACTTAATACGTGACCGTTTGTACAGAGCAACCGCACACGAAAGCATGAAATTGGCAAACGGAGAAAAACGAAATTACACACAAGCACAAAAATCGATGCATGATCGTAATCGCTCCGACACAACAGAGCAAATGCATTCCGAATTGGAGGTTCGATTTTATGCAATACGACATTGAAGCATGCACACTGTCGGAATGCTGAATCAGGAAACGCAAAAGGATTACAAACGCACAACAATCTCAGATGCATTTAAGCAACAAAGATGCGTTCGTCGGCAAATCATCCGCGATAATAATGAAAATTGAGTTGGAAAAGGGAAAATCCGAAACCGAAACCGAGAGAGAGAGAGAGAGAGAGAGAGAGAGAGAGAGAGAGAGAGAGAGAGAGAGAGAGAGAGAGAGAGAGAGAGAGAAAGGAAGAAACAGTGGCCGTTAGAATCGTGCTAAGTTGAGAAATGCCACACAAAAAATGATCGTAAAATTTTAAATATGCGAAATTGTGCACCATGAACATAAAATTAATAATGAATTAAAAGCGGTTCGTGTTTCGTTTTCGGATCTAAAAACAAAATCATCATTCCAATGGATGCTTTTGAAGATACGTATTTGCATTTTTTTTTACTTTTTTGCTTTTAGCGGTGATTACTGGAGACGAAACTTACATAATGATCGCACATATATGCACACCACGACACATGCTTCACTTTTGGCAACTGGCAATGAACAGGTTCAAACGAAGAAGAACGTGAATGAAGAAGTTGAAGCATTTCAAATGCAATCAAACATTGAAAATTGCGCCAAATAAACGGTAGAGACATTGAATGGGAAATGAAGACACGTTCCTTTTGCTCGTGTATGTGAATATTGGAGTGTGAGAAACCGAAGCAATTAAGGAACAAGCTCAAAAAAGAGATTCAAAATTAAATCAAAAGCCAAAATTGTATGTTATTAAAGTGTAAAAATTAGCCAATTCCACAAGCAAAATTATGCAATACACACACTTTAGTCAGAATGAGCGAAACAGGCAAAATAATTTCGTATCGAGGTTTTCATTCTATTTTTCCTACTTCTTGGGCTCTTGCCTTATCAGCGTCCTTTAATTTTTGATTCGATTAGCTATTTTTTGGCTTATGTCGTTTTTTATGCGGTTTCCATGTTGTGGCTTCAGTTAAGTTAGACGCGCGTGATTATATCACATCAATTGTGTATTGTTCATGCCATGGGCACATGAGAATAAACGCGACCTACGAATTATGCTTCACTGTGTAGCACACACCTCGTTTATTCTTGTTTATCATGTGTTTGAATTTGGTTGACGATGCTGTTCTTCTGGTTCTTGCATTTGGCATGCTATCAAACTCATTTGAAAGCTGTTTTGTGCTGTGTGCTATGCGATGCGAACCATGCGCTCGCGCGCTCCCTGCTCATACACAACATTCAGTTGTGATTACGTTTTCAATGCATTTTCATTTTTTCCACTTTGCGGAATGAAATCGATTGTGTAAAAAATCTTGTTCGGGTACGAACGAAAGCGACAAGTAACTACAGAATCAAAATGAGCAAAACAATCTCAAGACACCAAAAAAAATACATCCAAATTGAGCATATGTGTAATTGTGTGTTGGTGTACGCAGTGCACAGCGCGTATTTTAATGTACGAACTGCAAAGAGATGTAGTCAAATTGCGATGGCTTGGTATATCGAATATTTGTTCATTGGTCGAACCAAAGAAAAAAAAACGTATCTTTTTAATTCTTTCTCTCTCTCTCTCGCTCTCCCTTCTCACAGTGCCTATTTCGCGGTCGAACGGATCAAACAACAAAGGAACAATGCAGTGAAAAGAGAGCGATATAAGAAAGAAACATCCAAAACAAAACGAACATAAAATCTGTTAGATATCTCATTGATTTATTTCACAGCATGCAGTGATTTATGTGCATTATGAAAGTAGATGCACTACAGAGAAGCAACACATCGAATCGTTATGGCCAGACTTTCGTGTGTGTGTGTCTTTTTTTCAAGTCATCCACGAAAATTTATTGTGTGTTTTTTGGGCCGTTTTTTTTCATCCTCCATGCGCTCTACCGCATTTTGAGCGGTGTTTGTTCTTTTACTTTCCATTCTGCAGGCTTGTTCTTGCCATTAAATCAGATCACCTGATTCAATTTCACTTGTACTTAGTTCAATGCCACTTAATTGGTACGCGTTGTAAAAAAAAAAAAATATTTAGTCGGCCGAGGTCATCGACTTTCAACGCCAAAAACTGCATTATGAACACAGTTTGGTTTTTTCTTCTCTTATATCACTTATGAATTGCAATTGGTTTATTTATGTATATTTCAATTATTTCGATAAGGAAAGTCATGCGTGACAACTGTAAGGCTTTTCAAGGAAAAAAAAGAAGAAGCAAACGTAACCATCTCACTTTCTAGCTGCAAATCCCGTGCCGCAAGCTGAATCTCGACAAAAAGAAACCATTGGAAATTTAATCATACTCGATTATCGCATGCAAGTCTTAGAT